GACTGACAGTTAATCAGTCCAATACAAGAGCAGCAGAACATAAGGATACATTCAAAAATATTTGTATGAAAATAGAGTGACCAAGTGATGCTCTGGAAAAAAACTGAGCAGCAGATACAGATTTTCCCTGAGCTCAAAACCCAACTGTATATTATTATCCTCTTCCCAAATTAAAAGATCTGCTAAACGTTTAAAAAAAAAAATAATTAGAAAGAGAAAGTCAGCAATAACAATGAGCAAAAGATGAGAATGGATTCATCTGTATCTGGTAATCTCCTTTCTCGTCTGCCTTTTGTCTGCTTTCTCCACATGCTGCGAGGTGCAAAACAGAAATATCTTCTATTGTTCTACACACCATGGAGGTGTTTCACATAACATCCAGTTACACATTGTCCTACGGGGAGCAACAATGACATTGATGTATTCAACAACTGTAGTGCTTGCAGTGCAACCTATGTTTCAATAAACGTTGTAAAATCGGTTGAAGGATTTGCAGTCACAGTAACTGACTGAGTTATTTAAGTAGTGGAGACAAAACTTTTGCAGATGCTGAGATATCATGATCTTTACTACCAATCATTGGTCGAGCTCAAGCAAGTCTACAGCCATATTGGCAATTGCTATTAGGGTGAACTTGTTAATATGCTTATGATCAGCAGGGAAAGGTAACAGTGTTCACCATTAGTTGATCACATTAGCATGCTAACATTTGAAAGGTTAGACTGGTATCAATGTCATTTCTAATTGTATTTGATAATGGTACGTTAATAAAAGCCAGGTATAAGTTATTAAGATACATTGTCTGGGGACCAGGAATGCTTGTACTGAATGTTTTTGCAATACATCCAATACTTGGCGGTATATTGTATTCATGGCCAATGTAGTGCACTTACTGACATCCCTAGCCCGGCTTAAAACAACCAATTTCAAAAAATGCAACTCAATAGCATTTTCTCTCTGCATGATTAATGGCTACATCTTCCAAATTCCCATACCAGTAGACAAATGAAGCAGCAATTCAGCCCTATAACATTATGCTATTCATCCCAAGCACTATGTCGAATTAATTGTCCATTAGAATGAACACTTATCTGAATCAGGATGTGCTTTGGGAAACCCATTAGGAAAGGACACTGGCCGATTCTCATTTTTTTTTACATTACATTGCATTTAGCTGACGCTTTTATCCAAAGCGACTTACAATAAGTGCATTCGACCAGGAAGATACAAACTTGAAGAAAACAGAATCATATAAGTACATCAGGTTTCATAGAGCAAAAACATTTCAAGTGCTACTCAACTGGCTTTAGATAAGCGAGTCCTTTATTAGTACATAAGTGCTCTGTTAATAGTTCTATTTCTCGAAGTGGAGTCGAAAGAGATGAGTTTTCAGTCTGCGCCGGAAGGTGTGTAAGCTTTCTGCTGTCCTGATGTCAATGGGGAGCTCATTCCACCATTTTGGAGCCAGGATAGCAAACCCACGTGTTTTTGCTGAACTTTGCTGAACCCTTCGCAACGAGGGTGCAGCGAGTCGTTTGGCTGATGCAGAGCGTAGTGCACGCGCTGGGGTGTACGGTTTAACCATGTCCTGGATGTAGGAAGGGCTAGATCCATTCGCAGCATAGTACGCAAGTACCATTGTCTTGAAGTGGATTCTAGCAGTTACTGGAAGCCAGTGAAGGGAGCGGAGGAGCGGAGTGGTGTGGGAACATGTAGGAAGGTTGAAGACCAGACGAGCCGCTGCATTCTGGATGAGCTGCAGAGGTCGGATGGCACATGCAGGTAGACCAGCCAGGAGGGAGTTGCAGTAGTGGTGTAATTTGCTGTAATTACACTGTTTTGAGTGCATAAGTGTGTTCCAATGCAAAGTATGGGCAAGTACCTGGATGGTGCACTCATATAGGTCATAGAGTTGGATGTGGAACAATTGACACTTCCAAAGTGACGCAACCTCATGCACACACACACACACACACACACACACACACACACACACACACACACACACACACACACACACACACACACACACACACACACACACACACACACACACACACACACACACACACACACACAGACACTCTCTCTCTGCGGCAAAACTGGGATGCGCTGGGGGGGACATCCGGGACTACCGTCCATTAGTATCATTAAAGTGGCTATTGACGCCGTTAACATGTATTACATATAAAGTTATGAAAGAGATAAGGAGGAGAAAAGGCATGTGGAAGTAAGCAATGAATGTAAAAGGTCAAAATCCTCTGTTTAACGCGATATCGGACACAGAAGCACGAGGGGGGAAGTCCCCTACGTCACTACAGCCCCCAGAGAGGAGGAGCGAACAGCCAGCAAGCGGGAAGGACGAAGGCTTGTGGGTTCTCTTCTGCTCGGCCGACCACAGAGAGGGAGCTTTTCTCTGTTGCTCTCTCTGAACCATCTTCTGCTTGTAACATTACCACGCCATTTAATTAAAGTATCCATTTGAACCTTCTCATACCCAGGGTTGGGAGGGTTACTTTGTAAATGTAATCAGTTACTGATTACTGAATACATGGCTCTGAAAGTAATCCGAATACAGTTACAGTTACGTGTATTAAAAAAGTAACGTAATCAGATTACTTTTGGATTACTTTCTTTTTCCATCACAGATGGGTATGTTTTGGTGAACAGGAGACACAAAAAGCAAAAGGAAACTGAACGTGTTTTTACTGTTTTAATGGCTTATCAAGAGCACAACTGAAACATCACATCTGAAACGATGCAACAACATAATACACTTTTTGGGGATGCAGCTTGGGATGTGAGGAGTGAGGACATGGCTTAGAACGAGCGTGTCGCCTTCTGTCCTGCCAGTGTTGGCAGGACATTAATTAAAATGTCGAACTCGGACTTCATTTTAAGGACATTTCGGCCAGGGGTGTAGAGCTATATTTGTTTAAGCACCGGATTGGCAACACAGGAGAGTGTGTGCACCAGTCTGCCTTGATCTATGAATTCATGTCCGTGACACTCACAGTATCTGCTGCCCGCAGCTGTTTTATAGAAGGAAAACCTCCTTCACTTCATGAAATCTCTGCAGCACCAGGAGGCAGCGGGCTAACTCAGAAGACGAGCATGCAGTGCCTTTCACGCACCGCCTTCGCTGTGTTTACCTTCAGAATCATAAGGCTATTTAAAGAGCAACTGCAGGCTGATGTGTTTTAAACCACACACACCTCTACACACACACGACTTAAACGCAGACTTTTGCTCCTCCATGTTTCGTTGTTATTGTTTCACCGAGCGGACCCGCCCCTTTTTAATTTTTTTTTCCCTCCCTTTTTTGGTCCATCTGCGGCGGTAAAAGTGTTTGTGCGCTGTGATGATTCGGCTGTACCTTTAATAATGAATATTAAATGTTGTGAGGAGAACTTTCCACCAATAATTCCAATAAGTAATCAAAAATGTATTCACTTCAGGTTTACGAAAGTAACTGTAATCAGATTACTCGTTTTTCAAATGAAACGCGAGCTGAATACAGTTACTTGATTTTTGTATTCTGATTACGTAACGCCGTTACATGTATTCCGTTACAACCCAACCCTGCTCATACCTCATTCACACCAACGCAACTCCGGTTCAAGCGCCGTGCTAGAGCTTTTCAGGTTCAGAACCGGTTCTTCGGTTTAGCTCCGGCTCTTTTCACACCGCCCAGAGTCCGACTGGTGCTGCGTCATTGCGTCATCGTTTGTGTCATGACGTAACCGTTTGCGTGCCTGCTTCATAAAGCCAAACCGCACGGAAACCCCTCACAGCTGACACCGACAACAACAACAATGGCTGATTGTGCTCTAGCTTCCTCTGTACCTCTTCGGAATACCAGATTCCCAGTAGGTAACTGGTCTCTTCAGTGGACCACTGCTGCTTGTTAAGGATAGGAGCTCCAACAAGCCGTTTAAGACAGAGAGTGAATACACATACTTTACAGAGATGCTGTGTGAGAAACCAATGTGAGTTTGGAAAATTGAACAATATAAATCTATGTTTACCTCAACAATGGAATTATGATCAGTAGAAATGGCCTGACACGGGAGCTTTATAGAAAGCTCTGATGGTCAATGTTGATGATCTCTCACACCAGCACCAGAGCAGAGCAGCTTTTAAACATCCCTGATGAATGAAACACAATACCTCCCCCGTTGGGTTACAATACATAATAACAGCCTGAATTTATTCTCGGTTTCACAGTCAGATAATCCTTTCCCTAATCTTAATCTGTCTCATAATAAAACAAAACACAATGGCAGTACAACGAAATAAAAATACTTCAGTATTACCCAGACAGGCTGAAGGCTATCAACCTGGCTAAATCTTCTTATGACATAAAACTCTAAATCACACATATTTGGATGAAACCCTTTAACCTACCAGAGGCTTTGTTCTGCAGAACCAACAAACAATGGATTAAACGGAAATTATTCCTTTGGTTTTGGCGTCAAGGCAGTAACTCATAATGAACTCCTTGATGAATAAAAAAACAATATAACCCATATTGGTTAAAAAATATTTAGCATGTAGAGATTTAGAGATGAATCTATTCCCTCTTTCTCAGTAAATTAATAATTTCAATAATTGTATCTCAAAATAAGACAAAAAAGTAAACCATAGCACTGACTAAGACTAAATGCTGAACCTATGGATGGAATGGAAAGTATTCCATTTGACTGACTGTTTGGTGAGACAGAGACATAGCCTATAGGCAGACTAAAAATAACTAATTCAGAGCGGGAATGAATTAAAACTCATTTATATCACGAGCTCACGAGCCATAAATGTGCATGTCCGATCCCATTAATTAATTTGCTTGTTAACGTGTGGAGATACTTAGAATGTATTGTCATGTCATACCTTCACTGCAGACTCAGGGGTCGATACCTGAGTTTCACGCTCCATGCTGTCCTTCTCTGTTGTTCGCATGCACACTTTATAAACCGTATATTATAGCTTTCCAATTGTCCTACCAGCATTCCGTAGTTTACGGTTCCTAAGCACGGACAGAATGACGAGCAGGTTTCCCAGGACATCCACCACAGTAGTGAAGATCAGCACGGTGGCCAGAACCGCCGTTGCCCAGGCAGGACGCGCTGCCCCCGGGCTCGGCTCCGGTCCCTGTCCGGTACGACTCTTCAACAGCGACTCATCCTCCAGCATGTCCATAGTCTCTCTTCCCGCCTCCCTCACACCCCACAGTGGGTGGGAGTGGACGAAAGCATACTTCTAACTGTGACAGCAAAACACAATGTGGCTGCGGGGTTTCCCTGCCATGTCACAGAATGCGGAGCCTCTCCGCCGCCCCGCAGCATGTCCCCCCGGAGCGGACCGCAGCCCGCCCGGACCCAGACAGCGCAGGGACCCTGGGGGTGGGAGCAGAGATGCGCAGCCTGAATACCCACACCTCCTCCACCTATTCCTCCCCCTGCTCTGTCTCACCAGATAATAGCTCCCCTTCTCTGCCTCTCCAGACCATGCTTCAGAAACACCCCCCCCCCTCCTTCTCCATCTCTGTTGCCAATGGGACTTGAGGCAACTCTGAGCCTCCTTTGAGATTCTGTTGTAAAAATACAGAGAAAAAGCATTCACAATCTTACCAGTAGGCCTACACATTTATTGGCATAGAGAATAAACTTTTAAGGGCCAAAGTAAAAGCAGTCATTATAATAACTGATTTCAGAATATATTGGAAATAACTGCATTGTAAATTATTTTTGTATAGCCTACTGATTTTTAGAACGGTCAGAAAAATCTAGTGGAGGGACAAGTACAATATTGACTTTGTTGTGAAATTGTTGTGGAGTAGTAGTAGGCTACCTCAAAATTGAACTTGAGAAAATGTACTTCATTAGATTTCACCACTGTGTGCTCGAATTACAAGCCTTTAAAATATTATATTATACACTTTCACTTAAAAATAAAGAATTTTTGTCTCCGGTTGTTCAACACTGCTGGGTAAAAATACATTTGGGACAAGTAAGGACCAAAAACCTATCAAGATTGAGTTATGGAATTTCATATGCATGATGATGGGATATGATTTCTACCCAAAGAATTGAAAGAAAAATACATACTAAAAAAAAATAATTTAGCTCAGCCTTTACAGAACTTTGCAGAGGTGCTCCTGTTGCTGGTTCGTACCTCCTTTCTGTGGTAATTCCTGCATCCTAAAGTTCACAAAGTAAAACAGAAAATTGTATCGACTTAATGCTTATTGAATCACTTGAGTTGTAGAGTAGGAATTTTGCCTACCTACTTATAAATGTTACATTTTAATACTAGATTCCAAAACAAGGTAGTTTAAACTGTAAGTGTGTTTTTACATGTTCCTACAACTGTGGATTTAGCAATTATGTCACTAAAAGAAAGGGAGAGAGCTATGAGCTTGAGCAGAGTTTAAGTTTTAATGTATAGTTAGCAGCTGAGTTGTGATGAAGAATACAACAAGGGCAGATGAAGTTTGCTATCAGCTTTACAGAAATGCTGGAACATTTGAATTAAAAACTAATGATTACAACGGTTACATCAATAAGTTCAAAACTGTAATTTGGGTGCTATACAAGTACAATCATTTATATTATAAAAATAACTTTGATTTGAAGTCTATAAAGGCTCCATATAAATGCAAGTAAATCCATCTTTTAATAAAAATAAATGAAATTATGAAAACAATACTTTCCAACAACCACCATAAAATGTTAAAAGTCCTTGTTAAAGGTAGGGTATAGGTAATTCACTTCAGAAAAGCTTTTTGTTATATTCCTTGGAATGCTCCCGATAGCAATGAATACATTAAATGCTTTGACAATAAATACATTACAAACATTTAATTTCTGGAAGCCGTGGCGCTGTAAAAAGCACGACCAATCATCTGAGCCGGCCCGGCTAAAGTAACTGGATGGCCTAACTGCCTGTCAGCCTTCCATCTGTGCACAAACTTATCTTGTGCCCTCATTGGTCATGTGCGCGTTTGTGTGTGTTGGAGGAGGGACTCTGTAAGGAAGTCTGCTGGCAAGCCAGTACCAACAGACACTCAAAAGACCTCATTAGTGGCATCAAACAAAAAAGCAAACATGAGTGTCAGTGAATTACAGAGCTGCTTAGACCCTGTCTACCTCTCTGCTGCACTCTGCACACACTGTCATATTGTCTTGACCTAAATCAAAGCAAAATATGACGTTAAAGCCCAGTATATTACAATGATATTATAATCTATAGAGAGATGGAGCAAACATGAGACACATGAGTTTTAGAACTACTTGAAAGTACTATTATAACATTTAGTAAACATCACAACTTTCTGTGCATTGTTTTGAGTTATAAGATAGAATGCAAGCATCATGCAAGGCCTAAAGCCCCTGGCTTCAAATCAAAAGTTGAGTTCTATAGGGACTGCCCATTGTTGCTAAACCCCATTGTTCCGAAAACAAAAGTCCGAAAATGCCCCATTGTACTGACAGCCTATTCATCTTCCAGTCTGTCTCCCTGTAATCAAACACTCAATGCCCCAAAGGCCTATAGCTGTGATGGAGTGTTCAAAGTACTTTCTGCTGCTCCAGGAGTGTGGAGCTCTGAATAACCGAATGCTACACTCCAACAGCTCCCCAAATGAAGAAGTCTAGTTTGTGCCAGGCATTCCGGCTATCGTAGTGACTATTTAAAAATGCACCCATGACTGTTAAATTAATCAATCAGAGGCAGAGTACGGCGGGTCAGACCTTTGTTTACATTCTGCTTCTGTTTGTGCCACTGCTCTACAACAATACATGTTTTTGACTAAATAAGCAACAATCAAGATAATCTTATTAGACTTTACTATTTTACTCATTTTTGTATTATTTTGAAGTGGGACCAGGGGCGCCGCCAGGGATTTTGGGCCCCATGAAAATATATCACATTGGGCCCCACCACCAGGCACAGGCCACGCCAACCAAGCACAATGCTGTAACCACACCTCCAGAACCCAACCGACTCATTTATGCTTTAAATAACTCTACCTGAACAGGCTTGCATCTATCTTGTAGTCCAATACTAACTGCACAATATTTACTGAAACTGAGCGGTGAACATATAACACTGTGCAGACGTGCAACATTCTGCTGCAGTAGAATTCACTATTTGATATAACACTAACATTCCTGACAATAGACCTCAATAGTCATATTTTATGGAGTACATGCCATTTTAATAACATTTTTGAATGGAACATTCATGAATCTAAATAAATATAACTTAAATATACATGACCTCTTAAATTAAAATAAAGTGAACATTAACACCAATATTATTTTTTATAAAATGCTATAACAAAAAAAACAACATAAGCAGCAGATTATTTTATTAAATATATCAACTACAAAATAAACAGGTATTAAAGTGTAAACGGACAACAAAACAGAAATGGAAGTGAAAAGGCCTGATGGTGGCGCTAAATCAGAGCCTATTACCTGTTCTCAGTCTTTTTCTCATCATGCATCTTCTGTGTGATCCAATATCGTTACCATAGCCTTGCCCTTTAACAGTTATTACGAGCCCTTGCAGCCTTACTCACCAAGCGCCCAGCGCCTAGCCTTCTTATAGGCAAAGTCACTGATCAAGTTCTTGAAGTCCAGCTTTCTAGCCAACTGGCTTTCAATGAACAGCATGGCAAGACTGCAAAGCCTTATGGGGGACAGGGCTGCGGAGCCTAAAGATGGATCTGTTGGTCCTGGCACCAGGGGGAGGGACAACTGATTTAGTATGAATAGCTGCTAAAAATGTAACTGCCTTTATTAAATGTCAGCTAAAAGAGGAGTGAAATGAAAAACCTCAGCATTTTCTGTGAAGATATTAACAGTACTTAATGTCAGCAAAACATTACAATTATTATTTACAATGGACTAAGCTTGGCTAACAGACTAATTTCCACCAATCATGGACCACACCCACCTTTTCTTTTGAAAAACTGGGTGACATACTGTCGCCCTTTAGTCCCTCTCTCTTGTCTTTCTCTCCTTTCTTTTCTTTTTTGAAAGCCTGACTTTGTTAGTCGTTGAGACATCGTACACACGTAAGTACTAGCCTCCTCCTCACATGCTCTCACTCTCTGCTAGAAAGGGCCGGTGTCGCACAGTGTTTGGAGGCAGGACCAAACCATTACATGTAAATAGAGGGGGGTGTACAGAGGCTTTGGATAATTAACTTTTGGAAGAAAAAAAGTTAAATGAATCGTAAGTTTAGTGATTACATTATCAATTTAAGGTTATATTAATGTTAATTATTGATGATTGATGAAAGGTTACTTAAACATTTGTTCTTAATGTTCTAAAAATGTTTGGGGCCCCTGTCAGTCACGGGCCCTTAGAATCATCCTAACTTTTCACCCCCTTACGGCGCCCCTGAGTTGGACACTCCGAAATGTTTACCTCAGATTTGACTTTGACTGACATGCTTACACTTTTGTACTTTTCCATGCAGGAATATTGCTTTAGCTTGCTACTTTTAATCAAGTTCTTCCACTGCTGCTGTTCTGATCTGTTTGCAAGCAGTCCTTTAAACACCCCGCATAAAAGACAAGATATAAACAGAGGCTTTAAAGTCTAAAAGCTATGTTAAATGAAATATGCAGAACTGAGGAGTGGACGATTCCTCCACTTTTCTGTAAGTAGGTTTGAGATACTTTTAAAATGTGTCTCTTGCTTCACTTTTTAAATTTGTCTTGAGATAAATGATTTGAGGTTGGATCAATGAAACTCTGACTGTCTGAGCACATAGCAAAGTCCTCGAAAAAACGTAGATCCTATGAATGTATAATCAGTGCTTGAATTGGAATGAAAAAGGTGCCAGTACTCTAAAATCAGCAACTTTTTCAAGTCAATTTTATATATACAGCCCACAAACAATAATTTGGCTACTATAATGCTGGTGGGTTTGTCTCTTTACTACTGTATATTTTAGAAAGGTTCACTGTACTTAACATTTTTTATGATAGGCAGCGGATATGGCTAAAGCTCAGTAAGGTCAATATTAACTGAAAATATAGCAATCAAAGTCTAGATCTTCTGCTGAAGACACATGAAGCAGAGACCTTTCAGGTGAGAGCCCCTCTGGTGGTGTTCAACATTAATGACAAGGAAACAAAGCTCTGGTCAGAAGCATTTTTTATAAAAAGCTTTAACAAAATTAAGTATTTCTGTACATTTTGAATGCAATCTAACTTTCCAACTCAGAAAACGAAAAAGTGCCAAAAGTCTTCTCACATGGCTGAGCTGCTTTGCAATATACTTCACCACT